TCCCTCAGGGCATTCTCAAGCCTCATTCCCATGGGAGAGCATCGGGGTCCCCCCCAGGTCTGGCACTGTCTTTATCCCCTTTGCAGGGGCTACACAGGGGGACCAGCCTCAGTGACCCCCCTCTCCAAAACTGGCACCCCCTAGACCGGGGAGCCAAGTGCCAGTGGCCAAGCCATGGTCCCCAATGTGATGTGGGGCGGGCAGAGGGTGGCTCCTGCGACCCCCCCCCACCCCCCCGCCCTCACCTCCCACACTTCCTCCTGGACAAGGTACAAAAAGGAGAAGCGGGCGGGCACAGCTTGGGCGCAGGGACACACCAGCATCCCCCTGGCACCCAGCGAGAACCTTGGGGAACCCCACAGCTCCCAGCCACAGGTAAGGGGCTCCTCTTCCCAAGGGAAACTGAGGCATGGGCAGGGTGGGCGGGCAGGAAGATGGCTTGTCCAAGGTCACCCAAGGGCAACAGGACGGAAACCCAGGCGTCCGGAGTCCCATGTCCTGCTTGGCTTGCTGTGGCAAGGGGATAGGGCACTCATACGCGCTTGGGCACACACGGTCGTGTGCTCTCCCAGCCCTGTGCCCACCCCCATACCCACAGTGACAATCCCCATACCCACCACCTCCATTGGCACTGCCTCTCACCCTGACCCTAAAGTGCCACCCACCGCCCTCCAAAACCACCCTGCTGCACTATACCCCCCCAGCCCCCCACCCCATGCCCACAACGCCCCCAAACCTCATGCAGGCAGCATGCTCTGCCAAGGGGCTCGGCCTAAGGGGGGAGCTCAGTTTGGGGGCCTGCATGTTGGGGTCTATGTGCCCCCCCTTCCCTGCCCCCCATCTTGTGTGGGAGCCCCCCTCACTGTTCGTGCTGTGAGCAAAGGAAGCGAGAGCAGAACCAAAGGCAGCGCTTCCCCTGCGCCAAACCCACATCCTGAATCCTGGGGGACAGGGACAGGGACAAGGACACATTAGGGTGGGGGTGCTCAGCCTCAGGAGGCTCCCAAGGAAAAGGGGCCAGAGTCTGGGCATGGCATGGGGGCAGAGTCTGGGGGCACTTCGGCATAGGGCAGATGGACAGCTAAGGGGGTACAGGATGGAGCACTTTTGCCCACCCCATACCCCCTACCCCATGTAGGGACATGGGCAGGAAAAGGGGGTGCCTGAGTCCACCCCTTCTTACCTTAACAGCAGGCAGGTCTGGGGGGGGGACGGGGGCATGGACACGACAAACTCTCTCCTTGGGGCAGAGAGTTTGGGGTGCCAGGTGAGTGCCAGCCTGGCACCTCTCATCGCTGACCCTGCCTTTGCAGACCCCTGGCGACAGCCATGGCAGGGGACGGGGAGCTCAACCGCATCATCAAGGACCTGCAGAGTAAGTGTGCCAGCCTGTCCCCTGCCAGCGTGGCACATCTTGCCCTGGCTATGCTGGGTCCCTCCTCACACCCAGCCCATGGGCAGCAGGGGGATGTCACTGCCTGGGGACGGGAGGGCACCAGAGCATCCCAGTGCCAACCCTACCACTGCTACCCGCTCCCATCCTTGCTGCCAGCCCCAGGGCACCAGCAGTGTCTGGTGGGTACCTGTGCCCCTCACTACCTCTGCTTCCCTGATTCATCCCAGGGCAGGTTCCTCTTTCACTCTCCGGCAGAAATCCCCGGGGCCGGGAGCTGGGAGGCAGCAGGGAGGGGGTGGTGGGATGAGGCAGGGTGCCCGCTGCCTGGGCAGAGCCGTGCCAGCTCAGCCCTGCCATCCCACAGAGACCGTGGCTGAGCTGAACCGCAGCTACCGAGAGCAGAACCTGCCTGTGACAGACGGGAGCCGAGAGCTGCACAGCCTGTGTGCCCAGCTGGAGTTCCTCCTCCAGGTACCCTGCTCCTCCACTCCCACCACTCCCTGCCTCAGTTTCCCCTGGGGTGCACCTGAGAGCAGAGGGGACCCCACACTGGCCGTTTTGGGGGGTGGGATGACCCCAGCCAGCATTGTCTGGCTCTGAGCATCCCCAGCCACAGGAGCACCCCGACCAGGTGATGCGTCATTGCACGTGCTGCAAAAGGGAAACTGAGGCACAGAGCCAGCGAAGAGGGGACGCCAGGACCCACCCTGCTGGGGGAGCTGGCTGGATCCCAGCCCCACAGGGGACAGGCTGGGAGGGGCAGAGGACACCCCCAAACGAGTAAGCTTGAGCCCATGTCTCTGCCAGTTCGACCTCAAGGAGAAGAGGACCTTCTTCGGGCAGCGCAAGGACTATTGGGACTTCTTGTGCCAGGGCCTGGCGCAGCGCCGGCAGGAGCACGAGGGCGTTCGCTTCGTCACCTCCCTGGACAAGGTGGGCCCGGGGATGGCAGGGCACCTGGGGTCTCGTGCACACACACATGCGTGCGCTTGTGCTTGTTTGAGGGCTCACACACCTGTGCACGGGCGCACACTCACCTGGGCACTAAGGATTCGCCCACTGGCCCTTTCTCCCCACTGGGGTCCCCACTGCCCCCCAGTCCTGGCCCTGGGGACCCCCTTCCTTCCTGCACGGGCTGAGGGGGAGGTGTGCGGGGGGCAGGCTGGTGTGGCAGGGCTGGATAACCCCCTCTCTCCCCCAGCTGAAGACCCCCGTGGGCAGGGGCCGAGCCTTCCTGCGGTACTGCCTGGTGCACCGGCAGCTGGCAGAGTCCCTGCAGCTCTGCCTTCTCGATCCCGAGAGCCTCCGGTGAGAGCAGGGGACACGGGCAGGGGTTGCCCATCGTGGTGGGAGGCACAGCCAGGGCGGGCAGCCCCCTGCAGCACCTGGCAGCAAGGATGCTGCAGATGCTTGTGCCCTCCCTGGGGCACTGAGGGGTGCATGAGCTTGTTTTGTGGTTGCAGGGAGTGGTACTACGCCCGCAGCCCCTTCCTGAACCCCCAGCGCCGGGCAGAGATACTGGGCAGCCTCTACGAGCTGGATGGCGTCACCTTCCACCTGGCTCTGCGCAGGGCTGACCTGGACATCGCCTGGCCCATGTTCTCCGAGTGAGCCTGGAGATGCACAGGGCACCGGGGGCACTGGGGGCATCAAGGGTGCCAGGGGCACCAAGGGCATCAGGGGTACCTGGGGCTTAGCATCACAGAGCAGCACACATCACCCTGCCACCATGCCACACCACCCCCCCCTGTGTCCACAACCATGCCACATGTGCATGCACACACACACGCTGCCATCCTCTGCCAAGTACGTGTCCAGTCACAGGTCTGCTGCAGCACTGTGACATCTGAGATATGGGGACACACAGAGTGGCCGTGCACATCCTTGCCCCTGGGCACACTTGCAGGGGGGGCACTTAAGGGCGCAGCCACTCTGGCACACACATGCCTGCTCTGCTGCTTGCACACTCGTGGGCACGCACTGCCACAAGCACAGCCCCCAATTCTCCCCTGGCACCACCATGGGGATCTCTGGGTGCCACCTGCTCTGCAGGTGTTCTGGCTGATGGCACTAGCTTCTCTGGTCCCCTGTCATCAGTTGCCACCCAGTGTCACCAGCCCTGCTTCTCTCTCCATCCCCAAAGGCTGACCATACCCAGCAAGCCCTGCGGGGAGGGTGGCATTGGCTGGCTCACCCTGGGGTGACCTGGTGGACCTGAGCCTGGTGTCTTGTCTAGAACACTGGTACGGCACAGCCCGGTGTCCGGGAGCAGCCCAGCAAGGACAGCCCTGCAGACAGATGATGCTGGCACCGAGTCACATGAATGGCCTGATGTAATCGCCCGTCCCACCACAGCACCCCGTGGGGTGTCAGCCCACTCATGCCCACCCGCCTTGGCTGCCCCACAGGCAGGGGGTGTAAAGGTGGAGGAGGAGCACGTGGAGGTGAAGAAGGCTGTGGAAAAGGGGGATGAAGATGAGATGGAGGAGGATGAGAATGAGGATGAGGAGGTGGAGGTAGACGTGGAGGAGGATGTGGACCTGGATAAGGACATGGAAGAGGAGGATGAAGAGGAGTTGGAGGAAGTTGAGAAGGAGCTGGAGGACGTGGATGTCGAGGAGCTGAAAGACTCACATGGCGCTGGCAAAGCGCCCCAGCCCAATGGTGACGAGGAGCCTGGCACGCCCCCACTACCCAGCACAGGGTGCATGCCGGGCTCCTCGCCACCAGTGCCCAGAGAGTCGGGCAGGACAGAGGTGTCCCTGCAGGCACTGGTGTCCCGGCTGCAGGCAGAGCTGGGGCAGCAGGAGGCGGTGTCACAGGCGCTGGCATCCCGGCTGGCACGGGAGCAGCGGCGGCACCGGCGTCGGGAGGAGGCCAGTGCCCGGCAAGCCCAGCTGCGGGCACAGGAGGCCGAGGCGCTGCGGGAGACCAACACCTTCCTGGGGCAGGCGCTGGCGGCAGCGGTGGCGGCAGGGGGTCCGGGGGCACTGGCACAGGCACAGGAGGAGGCACGGGAATGGCGGGAGGTGGCGGAGGAGCGGGGTGCCCGGCTGGCCGGGGCGCTGGCGGAGGTGGCAGCGCTGGCCTCGCGCCTGCAGGACTGCCAGACGGCACTGGCGGCAGCAGCAGCAGGACAGACGGACACGCTGAAGGACACCAGTGCCTCTGACGAGGTGGCCGCTGTGGAGGAGGTGCTGCGGCAGGCACTGGAGCTCACCTGTGGCCCCCTGGAGACCCTACCGAGCCCCCAGGTGGAGGGGGAGCCCAACACGGCCACCAGCATGGCCATGGTATGGGCAAGCCTGAGGGAACCTTATGGCGGGGTGAAGGTTTGGGGGACCAGGGCTGAGCTCCTGCTCTCCCGCAGCGCCTGGCCACCATGGCCACTGCAGCGCAGGAGGAAGCCCAGCAGAGCCGACAGCAGCTCCAGGCCCAGCAGCAGGAGGTGGTTCGGCTGCAGGAGCAGCTCAGCAGGTTGGGCAGGTTCTCTCCGCTCCCACCATCCCTAGTCCCACCAATGCAGGGTTTCCCTTGGGATTCACATGGTGGATCACTTGGATCCAGGGGAGCAGCTTCTGGGGATGGGCAGGGGGGAGAAGGGAAGGATTCGGGGAGGGAGGGCTGGACAGAGGTGTCAATTTGGGTACTAATAGATAGGCGGAGGGGTGCGTGGGCAGAGGGGTGAAAGAATGAATTTGGAGCGAGTAGATGGATGGAGGGATGGAGGGGTGGGTGGAGGGGTGAATTTGGGATGAATGGAGGGAGGGATGAATTTGGGATGAATAAATTGATGGGTGGGCACACAGAGGGATGGAGGGATGACTTCGAGAAAGGTGGATGGAGGAACAGAAGGATGAATTGGGCATGAGTGGATGGATGGATGGATGGATGGGCAGAAGGACAGAGAGAAGGACAGATGAACAGCTGGGAAATGAATGGGTGGCCAGCCTGGCAGATGGCAAGGTGGCTGTGAGGGTGGGGAGATGGCTTGGGGATGGATGGGCAACAGACAGAGGCAGGGAGGGATGGAGGGAGGGATGGATGGATGGATGGATGGATGGATGGATGGATGGATGGATGGATGGAGAGACGGGCAGCTGAGGGACAAGGGGACCATCTCCCCACTGCCCCACACCAGGGCCCGGCAGGACGGGGAGCGCTGGGCATCGGCACTGCAGCGGGCGCAGCGGGAGGCCCTGGAGCGGGAGGCCACGCGTGGTGCCGAGCAGGCGCGGCAGCAGGAGCTCATCCGGGACATGAAGGGGCGGCTGCTGGAGCTGCTGCGGTGAGAGTCTGGGGACACCACTGGTGTGGGGCCACGCGCAGGCAGGGGGACCCAAACCCCTTTGCCCAGAGGAGGGCACCAGATCCCAGGCGATTCCCGCTCACCACCTTGGGAGATGCAGGGGGAGACTTGGGTGCCCACCTTGGGTCTGGGGTGCCAGGGCATGCTCCCGGACCCCTGCTGCTGGCCACACTCCTGACGTGGATGACCTGTCCCCTCCCACAGGGAGAAGGATGCCCTGTGGCAGAAGACAGAGGGCATCGACACCCCGATACCCAGCCCAGCGCCTCGCGATGTGGGGCTCTGCACCCGCTGCCACAAGGATTTCCGCCTCCTCTCCCGGCGGTACAACTGCAGGTGGGCTATGGGGGGCACTGAGGGGGGGGGCACTGGGATGGCACAGCTCTCACCACCCTCTCTCTTGGCAGGCTGTGCCAGGGCAAGGTGTGCCATGCGTGTTCCGTGGACGTGGGCAAGCAGGGGCGCTGCTGCCTGCTTTGCTACCAGCAAAGGCACCCACAGGCTACGTGAGCCCCCAGGACCACAGCCCTCTCACCACACCTGGGACACCCCCTGCCCTGGCTGCCTCCTCTCGGACTTACCAGGGACCCAGGCATCTGGAGCCTGCGGGCAGGTCCTGCTGCCCGACATTTCGGGTTTGAGACGTGTCTTTCTTGTGGCTGGTCCACGGAGAAGAAACCAACCTGCTTCTGCTACCCCTGTGGCTCCCGTGTCGTCTGTCGGTTGTCGCTGGATTGACTTCCAGGTTGGGTGTGAGGTGGGGGGAGATGCCAGTATAGGGGTGTCTGAGCCCTTTTTGGGGGAACCATCCCCATGAGGGGTGTCCCAGCTGCGGCCAGGCTGAGCTGCCATCTGCCCTGTCCCACAGCAGGGAGGCAGCAGCAGGCAGGAGAGATGGCTCTTGACCAACAGCCCCCGCTTCCTGCCAGGCTGGGAGGAACCTCTTAGGCAAGAGGTTTCCCAGATGCAAAGGTGATGGGCTGTTCCTGCCCAGCCCCCCCGCTGACTCTGCCCAACCCCAGGTCCCCAGGACTCTCCACATGGGTGCCAGGGGACCCTCATACCCACCCATGAGCCAGTTCAGAGCTGGCACCCACTGATGCCCCCACAGTTACGGACCCCCAGGAACCTGGAGCAGGGGGAACAGAGGAGCAGTGTAGTACAGGACCCCCGTGGAGAGTTGCTTAGGCATGGTGGAACAGGCATCCTGGTCCCTGGCATGCAGGGTGGCAGAAGTGACCCCAGCAGGGTCCCTGCCCCCTCTTCAGCCCCTCTGCCCCACTCCAGTGCCAGCCCCAGTTGCCCAAGCCAGGGCGGAAACGTCCTGGTTGTGCAAGGGACAGGTTCCCAGCCCTTTGCACAATGATGTTCTAGGGGCCGGGTGGGGACAAGGGGGGGGATAAGGGGTGCCCTGGGTGACAGCAACCTTCAGGGCAGGGTCACAGGGCTGGCTTGGTTGCAGCAAGGGGCTGCCCAAGGATCTTGCAGTATGGGGTCAGGAAGGGGATGGCTTTGTCCCCAGGTGGGACAGATGCTGCATGAAGACCCCCACACTGGGGAAGTGCCAGGACCTGGCTGGGTGGCTGTGGAGACCAAGCCCTTTGGGTCCCCTCTGGGGACTCACATGATGCCGAACTCTCTGTAACAGCCTCTTGGGTAACAGCCCTTCCCTGGCCTGGAAGCGGGGTTACCCACACCCAGCCAGGCTCAGGGGGCACCGCCGCTTTGGCACTGAGGTGGGGAGCCCAGGACCCACCATCCCCAGAGATATGCCCTGGCCCCATTCTGCCATCCCCCTCCCTATGGCAAAGAGGAGCCAGACCTGGGTGACTGTCCTGGTTTCAGCAGGGATAAAGTTAATTTTCTTCCTAGTAGCTGCTGTGTTTTGGATTTAGGATGAGAATAATGTTGATAACGCATACTGTTTTAGTCATTGCTAAGTAATGCTTATATTAAGTCAAGGACTTTTTCAACTTCTTGTAGAAGCTGAGAGGGAGCATAGACAGGACAAGCTGGCCAAGGGAATATTCCATACCATAGATGTCACGCTCAGTATATAAATGAGGACTGGCCCGGGGGCAGGAATCAGCAATTGCTGCTCAGGATGGATTGGGCAATTGATCATCAGGGCATGAGCAATTGCATTCCATCACTTATTTTGTATATTCTTTTACCATTATTATTATTTTCTCTTCTGCTTCTGTTCTACTAAACTGTCTTTATCTCAACCTATGAGTTTGGTTTTTTTTTTTAGCTTTTTCTCCCTCTTCTCCCTACCCTACTGGCTTCTGTTCTACTAAACTGTCTTTATCTCAACCTATGAGTTTGGTTTTTTTTTTTAGCTTTTTCTCCCTCTTCTCCCTACCCTACTGGGGGGAAGAGTGAGTGAGTGAATGGCTGCATGGTCCTAGTTGCCCTCTGGGGTTAAACCATGACAGTGACCAACCCACCAATTTCTTTATTGCCCCATGGCCATCAGCCACCAACACCGTCCCCACAGAGGGGTCGTGAGGTCCCCAAAGTCACAGGCTCTACCCCACAGAACCAGGAGGGTGGGCAGCACTTGGTATCGCTCCGTGGCAATGGGGTCCTAACCCCCTCACCACCCAAGCCTCCTTCCAGCCAGGGTCCAGCACCCAGTGGCAGCCCTGTCCATCCC